CCCACATCATCCTTGACCACAGGCCAATCCTGTGGGGACATGTTCTTAGTTGAGGTTCCCTCTTCTCAAATGATTCTAGCTTGTGTTGAGTTGGCATAAAGCTAGGTAGCACAACTGACCCCTTGACAACCTGATACACAAATGCATCATTATTCAACTATAACCTTTCCCTTCTCATTTCCCTCCAAGATGGTATGTTGATATTAATATTACAATATAAACTACTTCTATTTCTAAAAGTCTCATAGTCTAAAAATTCAACCACCTTGAAAGTTCAGTCTCTCTAAAATACCAAAAGATTTTTTTTAAATCCTAAGCCTCTCTACACTTTCTAAACTTTCATAACTGTGACTTCTTATAAAATTAAAGATACATTAAATACTTTCTTGCTCTAAGAAGGAAAAATCAGGACACAGTCTACAATTAGATGAAGTCAAAACCAAAGTTCAGTATAAGGCTCAATGTCAGACTTCTGGAACTCACAATGTTCTAGGCCCTAAAATGTTTGTCCCAGAACACATATGACGTCTTAAAAGCTCAGGCTGGCTCCTCTTCGCACTTGTGATACTGATATCTCTGGAATGATGTGGTCGCCTGCTGTGACCAATAGCATTTCCTGGGCTCCCTTAGGGACTCTGATCCTGACACACGGTGCCAAGCCTCACCTTCACCTGAATTCACCTGAAGCCTCATCTCTTCAGTCCTGAATTTTCAGATGCAGCTGTGGCTGCACCGTCACAAGTTATCTCTTCAGGGATTCTACTATCACACCGAGCTGCTCTCCATGGCTGCATCAGGCCTTCAAAAGGAGCACCACTTGGGTGACTTTTTATACATGATCAAGTTGGGCTACCAACATGAAAGCCAGTCTCAATCCCCTCTGGACCACAACTTCTGTGTGCAGACCCTGAGGAAACACTCCCAGATTTTACTGTACTCAGTGATGTTAGTCTCTTTTTATCCATTGCTAATTCCTCAGCTCCAGCTAACCAGCCCTCAATTGTCCTAGTAGAGCCAAAACTTCACTTTAGTGGTGATGGCCTTTTGTTGATCACGGCTGATTCTTCAGCTTCCACTGGCTCAGAACCTCAGATTCTTAATTCAAAAGATCACACAAATGACTCTGGGAGTCTCGACTTTTTTCTGGAACTTCACAAGTCAGGCCTCCAATCGTTAGCATTTCTTTCAGTGTTCTTGTCTCCTAAGCTCCCACAGAACAACTTACTGAGCTCTGAGCACTAAATGGTTTTTTAAACTCAAAGTTCATATGCCATACAACCCCTCCTCCATCAAATACATGGTCAGATCTCACAGCAACACCCCCTAGTACCAGTGTCTGTCATAGTTAGGGTTTCCAGTGCTGTGATAAAACAGTATGACAAAAAGCAAGTTGGAGAGAGGAGAGGGTTTATTTCTTTTTTTCTTTGTAGTCCATTTTTTCAGGGAAGTCAGAGCAAAAACTCAAGGCAGGAACTTGGAGGTAGGGACTGATACAAACGTCATGGAGGAGTGCTATCTACTGGCTGGCTTGCTTATCATGTCTTGTTCAGCCTGAATTCTTATAGCACCCAGGAACAATAGTCCAATAATGGAACCACCCACAGTGAGCAGGGTCTTTACATATCAATCATCAAGCAAGAAAAATGCACCACAAGCTTGGCTTGCTCACAGGCCAATCTGATGGGGTCATGTTCTCAACTGAAGTTCCTTCTTCCCAAATAACTATCTTGTGTTATTAACATAAACCTAGCCAAAACTCAAGTCATCTCTCATAGGCTATTAGGAATGAGGAAATCTTAAATCATTACAAGCGGCAGTCGCTTACCACAGGAACCATTTTTCCCCTTATTCATAGCTCTTTGGAAGTGTTACTTTGATGAACTCATAAGTTCTTTTAGAAATGAGTGTGGAACATGCACCAACAAGCCTTCCAACACAGGTACTTCAGGGATGCTCAGGTGGAAGGGACAGCTTCTGAACGACAGTTATTGAAGCATCTATGAGTATTGACTCTTACCTTGTTTGTGAAGTGTATTATCATGGTGGCTCCCACGTCAGCCTTCATATAACAGTACTGTTCAAGAAGTCTCGAGGCTGATAGGTTACTTGTGCAGAGCTGCTCCTTGGCTTATGGTTTGGTTACGACGCTATAAACTCATGAGTTGAAAATACATTTATATGCCCAACTTACTAAGCACTATAGCTCCACAGTACTGCACTGTGGAGCTCCCAAGTTTTCTCTTGTGAACTTGAAGCTGACTGGAGGCTGTGGCTTGCTGCCACTATTCTGCATGGTAAGACTGTCACCTACCTGTCGTAGCCTAGGAAAAGACCAGAATTCAAAGTCCGAGCAGTGTCTGTTGAATGCATCACTCTATATATTTGTAAGGAGGACACATCAGAATTGGACCTGTTGTTTGTCGGGGATTATATCTTTGTGTTTAATTCACAATGTCAGTACATGATATGAGGCCCCTCTTTATGCCACATGTTGCTTAATTTTGTAGAGATGAAGACCCTGTTTATGAATGAGGGCAAGAAAAAAAGGTCTAGATAGGTTTAAAATTGTTTAAAGTTTTCAGTTTAGTGGCAGAATCCTGGGGTTCTTACATCCAAGAATGTATGGCCCTGAATATAATGCCATTGAATCCTTCAGTATAGACATAAATTTGCTGACTTCTTGGCATGGTAGGCCCATATTGAAATAGAGAGAAGTGCTTGTCTGTTGTCAAGAAGTCCTATGCAGTTAGAATGGAAGAATACGGCTGTTCAAACACAGAATTGCCAAGCTGGGTAACACCCATATCATCTAGCTTAACTAGAGAAAAAGGGGAGAGGGTCTCAGGTCTTAGATCTGTGGCTCTGTGCTTTCATTTACACCATAGATCTTTTGCTTTGTGTTCTCCATCTTCCATTTTCACGGAAGGGAACACTGACAATTTCGAGGGCTAATGTTGGGAATGTGTTTCACGTAGCCATTTCACCTTAATAATAAATCATAATATAATACTGATGTTCAAAGGAATAAATATTACAACCCCCCCACAAAAGGTGACATTTAATTTCTACTGTTTGCATATCTCAGAAGAGCAGTAGAGGCATGCGGGTCCATGAACGTAGGCTTTTTGTGTCTGTGGGTTTGAACCTGATTAGGCAGGACATTTTCTCTGGTTAGAATTTACTTTTCTTCTCTTCTGTTTTCTCTTCCTCTGTCTCCTTTCTAATGGGGATGTAACCCAAATTCTGACGCATGCCAGGTAAATGCTCTGCCACTGTCATTTCCCCAGCGTTGCAGTGAGGAATTTAGCATTGTTCCTCTCTCCACACTAGGCAAACATCTCTCCATGGGTCCAGGGGCTTGTGATACTAGAGATTAGTGTTATCTTTCACCATCAACGTGCCATTGGACAGGAAGGTGGCAGACAGCATTCTGGAGAGTCCTGTTACCTCAGCTGTGCATTGTAGTTGAATTTTAATTTTTTTTGGGGGCTGCTAGCTCACAATTAATGACTCGGAGACTTATTCATTATTCATTTTAAAAGCTCAGCCTTATCTTAAGCCGGTCCCATTAGCTCTTTTTTTTTTTTTTGATTTACTTATTTATTATGTATACAGTGTTCTGTCTGTCTGTATACTTTCTGGCCAGAAGAGGCGCCAGATCTCATTACAGAAGGCTGTGAGCCACCATGTGGTTGCTGGGAATTGAACTCAGGACCTCTGGAAGAGCAGTCAGTGCTCTTAACCTCTGAGCCATCTTTCCAGCCCCCCCCATTAGCTCTTATCACTTGAACTAACCTGCTTTTATTAATCTATGTTTTACTACGTGACTCTTCATCTTCTTTCATTCTGTATGTCCTACTCCCTCCCTGTCTTGTTGGCATCTCCTCTGAATCTTGATTATCTCTTCCTACTTCCTCTCTCTGTCCAGAAGTCCTGCCTAGCTATTGGCCATTCAGCTATTTATTAAACCAATCACAGTAATACATCTTCACACAGGGTACACATATCCGACAACAGTGTATCTAGGGACTCTTTGGAGAAGTAGATGGTGGGCATCAAGAACTTGGGCTTGGGGGTTGCTGCTTGATGGGTATAGAGTTTCAGTTTTGCAAGATGAAAATGTTATAAAGATTACATGCATATTTAACAGTTATGAATCTTATATTAAAATGAACAAGAGTAAATTTTATATTGTTTATTTTACCATAATTAAAAAAATGCACTGTGGTGTTGCATGCTGTTAATCCCAGCATTTGGGAGGCAGAAGGAGGTGGAACTCTGTAAATTCAAAGCCAGCCTGGTCTACAAGCTGGTTCCAGGATAGCCAAAGCTACACAACCCTGTCTCAAAAAACCTAAATAAATAAATAAAGTGCAGCAATGCAAATGTTATTTTTGTCAGTTATGGCCTAGAGCCTTTTATCAGGGCTCTGTTATTCAGTTATATATCAGGGACCAGGAGCTGGGTGATGTGAAACTAAGTAACTTAGTCCAATTCCTCAGTTATTCAGCGTATGTTTGAGTGCCTGCTGGACCCAGGGACTGTACTTGTCTTCAAGATATCAATGAAAAAAAAAAAAGACCCTCAAACCTGTTTGATTGAATGTGAGGCCCCAGCCCTCTGACACCCCTATATCCAAGAAGTCTGGGATGATTGGAAGCATCACCCCAGCCCCTGGCCTGAGAGTTGCCTTGGTCCAGACTCCAACTCCCAGCCTGCCAAGCACTGACCCCTCCTCAGGCAGGGTCAGGACCACTCCCACAGGCTATTTAGGCTTGTGCCAGAAAAAGGAACACGTGGTCTCTGGGGTTTGCGTGGGCTCCTCTCCCTGCCATGCTGTCCTGGGCCACCCAGGAGTGCAGCATTTATTAAACATGGGCATTTTTAATTTGGTCTAATCTGGGATGATTGGAGTTATTTTGCATTGGTGGAGAGGCCTATCTTAAGATTTTTCTTAACAGATGGAGTTCTCCCACCGAAAGGGTCCATTTTTCCTGCAGGTACAGGGCACAGGGCCGTGTGCCAGAAAACTCCCTTCCCACGTGCTCTCTCTGCCAGGCAAGATTGGCTTCACTCAGTGAGTTCCCCTTTTTGCTTATGCTGGTAGGGTTTGGGGTGACCCATTCGCATTTTGAATTTTCCGCTGAAGTTGTGGGCCCTGGAAACCTGACCTGTGCAACAGAAGCCAGGGGCTTTTGCTGGGGTGAAGATTTCTTGGCCAGGGACACCTGCCATTCAATTTTCACAGCCCAGTTTTCGACTCAAGAGTTGTCCCAGCAGACCGCTGTGACAGACTTGAGCTCCATGATTGGGCATAGACTTTTAAAATGGGTTTCTTGCGATTTTAGGTCGATTCCTAAAACACCCTTAGATGGCCTTTTACAAAAAATTCTTTTAAATTGGGGCTATCTAACATAAATTTTCTAAACATAAAGTTTCTACATGCATGCTCCTGTTCCCACCCCCCTCTGCTTCTCCTCCACAGCCCATGGTTTGTCCTGCCCCACTTCCACTTCTCCAAAGCCCTCGGGGCTCTGACTCTGTGCTCAGAGGCTTGTCCGGCTCCTGTTCCTGTCCTGTTCTGGATTCGGGGATCTAATCCCGACTCCCTTTCCATTGCCCATCCCTTCTAAAGGGAGCTCGCCCATCAACTGTTTGCTGTGCTTCACTGGCCTCCCTCTGCCATCTATGCTGGGACCTCTTTCCTGTCCCCGTTCTGCTTGCTGTTTGTATCACTTTAGCCCCCACCTCCAAGCTGTTTACTGTTTCTCTCACTCTGGGATTTTAAAAAATTCATTTTTTCCCCATGTCCTTCTACTCTAAAACTCTGTAAATGTTTAGTCCTTATGTTTCTGTTCCCTCTTACAGCGTTTGCTAATCTGGCTCTTAGTGAGACCACCTCTGTACTTTACTGGCTTTTGCCACCTACCTATGCCAAAAATTTTAAGTTGGTCAGCTGACACAGGTTTCCAAAAGTGTTTTATTTGTCTGTCTGTTAGAATGATGTGGTGCACAGTATGTCTGTGTAAGTATGTGAATTTATATTTTTATGTGCATGTGTGCTTGTTTTAAGATAATTCCAGACTAAAACAGCTCTGGAAAAATACAAACACATGGGTAGCCTCCATTTAAACCTCATCACCATCTTCGGTAAGTGTACCCATGTGTGCTAGTCCGCCATCTTTGGTAAGGGTACCCATGTGTACTAGTTCACCATCTTTGGTAAGGGTACCCATGTGTGCTAGTTCACCATCTTTGGTAAGGGTACCCGTGTGTACTAGTTCACCATCTTTGGTAATGGTACCCATGTGTACTAGTTCACCATCTTTGGTAAGGATACCCATGTGTGCTAGTCCGCCATCTTTGGTAAGGGTACCCATGTGTGCTAGTTCACCATCTTTGGTAAGGGTACCCATGTGTACTAGTTCACCATCTTTGGTGAGAGTACCCACATCTGCTAGTAATCTTTAACTTATTAAAATATTCCTTTTAATCTTCTTACATTTACTAGCATTGGTAAACTGTAACTAACTGGATAAAATACACAACTAAATTTAGCATATGCCCAGTTTGAAATAACAGGTAATGGTACCTAATTCTCAAGTGCCTTTACAGATCTGCGGGTATGGCATTTTAACAAAAGAGCTTCTAACACATAGACATGCCAGCTTCTGCAGCACCCTTTAGGTCCTAAAGAAGACCTTCTGCCTCCAGGCCTTGCCTTTGGGTTTGGTAAAAACCTACCCACACAGCAAAAAGCAGCCTTTCACCTCTTCAACTTCCTGAATGCCTTCCAGGGAATTGATCTTTTTATCCTGCAAAGACAGGTAGACTAAATCTTCCCCCTACAGGACAAATCTTTGGGCCTCTTGTACTAACGGCAAGCACTGCTTCTACGACCGCTGTTCGCCAAGGACTAAGGAGAGGAATTGGGATTGCCTGTGTAGCTAAAAAAGCTGTCTCATTTTTGCTCATTTATCCTTCCCAGATCTGTCTAATGGCATTTGACGACTTAAGGTACTGTTAACTTACTACTTCATTCATGACATTTAATGAAGTTTCCTGCTAAAATACGGACAGGTGTGCCTAACAGGTTTCAGGTGTGTCTTAAAAAATCCAGGGTTCCCAATTTCTTTAATTGTCTTAACCTAAAGCAATAGCCTTTTGTTATGACACTAAGATGTAAATCTGTTCCATTCTCTTACAGGTTCTGGGAAAAGTTCTGCTACATTAACCCCAGTCAGTTTCAAGCATATTTTACAGGTCACTCCTGCTGCCTGGGCCAAGACTAACTTACAAAGCGCTCTTCAGACAATGCCAAACACCTGTAACAGCTCCTGGAACTTCACCATTGGTACCAACTCTCCTAGATCAAGGACACCTGCCAACTAAAATCTGGTTTCATCTGCTATTGTGTCCCATCCCATGGCTAATCACATTTCGTAGGGCCAATAATAACAATATTTTTTTTTCTCCTAGCCACCTACCTTCTCACATCCCTCAAAAAGCAGCTGCCCAAGTGCGGGAGAATTATCTGTATTCTGTCAATCATGTATTTTAATAAAACACTGATTGGCCAGGCAGGAAGTATAGGTGGGTCAACCAGACAGGAAGTAGAGTCGGGGCGATGAGAACAGGAGAAGGCTAGGAAGGAGGAAACCCATTCCTCCATTCCTGCCCAGACCACAGAGAAGCAAGATGTAACCTACCCCACTGGAGAAAGTACTGAGCCACATGGCTAACACAGACAAGAATTATGGGTTACCGTAAGATGTAAGAATTAGTTAATAAGAAGACTGAGCTAATGGGCCAATCAGTTTATAACCTAATGTAGACTCTGTGTGATTTTCTTTGGGACTTGCCGGCTGTGGGGGGTACCATTTTACAGATGGTGCCCAATGTGGGGCTTGAACCCACGACCTTGAGATTAAGAGTCTCATGCTCTACCAACCCCACAGCAGGCAAGTCCCAAAGAAAATCACACAGAGGACTCCATAAGATTATAAAGCTGATTGGCCCATTAGGCCAGGCTACTTATTAGCTCTTATGACTTTTGTTAGCCCATTATTTTTATCTATGTTAGTCACATGGCTCAGTACTTTTCTCAGCGTGGCAGCTCACATGTTGTTTCTTCAGTTATCTGGGCAGGACTGGAGGAATGCGCTTCCTCCTTCCTAACCTTCTCCTGTTCTCATCGCCCTGCCTCTACTTCTTGTCTGGTTGACCTGCCTATACTTCCTGCCTGGCCAATCAGTGTTTTATTAAAATACATGATTGACAGAATACAGATAATTCTCCTGCACCACCCAAGGACTCCAGGATGACAGCAAACCAGATGCTGCTCCAGCCACACCTCTCACTGAGTGTGAGCACACAAACTCCCAGCTCTCTCCTCTCCCATGTTGCCCCATGCCTGCAGGAAGTAGCCAGACTTGAGCTGATGGCCCTATATTCAAGGACTCTGGGATGTTTGATTGAAAGCGAGACCTTCAGCCCTCTGACACCCTTATATCCAAGAAGTCTGGGATGATTGGAAGTGTCACCTGAGCCTCTGGCCTGGGAGTTGCCTTGGTCCAGACTTCAACTCCCAGCCTGCCAAGTGCTGACCCTTTCTCAGGGAGGGTCAGGACCACTCCCACAGGGTATTTAGGCTCATGCTGGAAAAAGAAACATGTGGTTTCAGGTTTTATGTATCTCCCACTCCCTTCTGTTTCTCTCCCTCTCTTCTTGCCATGTTCTCTTGGCCACCTGGGATTGCAGCATTTATTAAATGTGGGCATTTTTTGATTTGGTCTAACTGGTTTAATTGGAGTTATTTTGTGTCAGTGGAGAGGCTCATCTTAAGATTTTTCCTAACAAAACCTTTCCTTGTAAAGGCTCACGAAAACCAAACCAAAACAAAACAATTTTTCTTTTATTTCAAGATGGTGAAAGCAAAGCCTAAGAGGAGGAGGAGGAGGGGGAGGATCCCAGGAGAATGGAAGAAGGTGAGGTAATAGACCCCATAGTTATAGAGAAAGAGACCGTTATAGCCAGGGCAGCTGTGAGAGATATGGAACAGGAAAGCAGTGGAGTTAGAGGAGCTACAGTTGGCCTGGCTTTGAGGGAAGATGAGGAACAGGATGAGATGGAGGACCAGTGAGAGGTGGTCAGGACCAGTGGGACTGTGAGCAGAGGGAGAATGTTCTAGGGTAAAGAAGAGATGTACCACAGGAGGATAGAGAGTTCCTGAGAATGGGGAAGGAAGGAAGGAAGGCCTTTGTTGTTCCTTGAGGCCAGGATGTTATGACTTAATGGGATTAGTCATCTAGTAGAGAACACCACTGTGTGCAGAGTGGGCAGAAGCCGGTGAAGGCAAAGTTGTGACTCAGCCTTAGAAGATACAGGAAAGGGGAGTCTCCTTCCCTCTTCACAGTTGTCCTGTGTCTGTGTGCTGATTGACAGGGGCCTAGTTTGGGTGTGTTCACCTTGTATTCTCAGGCTTTCTCCTTAGCTCCCTTCCCCAGCCTTGGAGGTAGAGGTTAAGTGTATCCCCAGGCTCTCCCAGAGAGGTGATGGCTAGGCTGATTCCTAGCCTCTTGGCTTTAATGAGCTTCCTGGAAGCTCCTGTCAAGGGTGTTAGCTTCCCTCAGGAAGAGAATCATTATTCACCAGGGAGAAAATGAATATCTTGTGGCTGTGGGCTCTTAACCAGGTTAAAGCTGCAGGACAAATGATGACTGAACAGACTTCACGCAGGGAGGAATGAGCAATCTCCGAGACTGGAGTGCGAGTCTTCAGAAGTCTGCATCAGGGGAGGATGTGGGTGTGCATCAGTCAGGGAAGGGGGGGTTTGTGTCATCCCTCCCGTGCAATCTGAGTGTGAGACCAAAGCAGGAACCATGTGCCTTGCAGGTTAAGATTTCTGTTTGCAGTTATGATTGCTAAAGAACAAATCCTTGCTTGTCCTGGGCAGGTTAAGGTTTCTGTTTGCTGTTAAAGAATAAGTCCCTGTTTGTCCTGTGTTAAGTCTTTGCAAGTTAAAGTTTCTGTTTGTAATTAGGAGTAATCTCCAGTTTCACAAACATCAAGTCACATATTTCAACCAACACTAAACTCGAGACCCCATTCACATTTTGTATATCCTTATTCTTGCCCCTCCCCTTTCTTTGTATTTTCATAACAGTGTATATCAGCCAACTCTCTTGCCCCTTGAACACCTTATATATCTCTCCTGTAAAAAGGACCTCAGGAGGCCAGCAGGGGCTGCTCTTAGGGTGAAACAGCCAACTGGTCAGTACCAGGTGAGCCCCAAAATACAGCTTGCTTTAATTGGACAATTATGGATTTGGTTTCTTCTCCTTGCGGGTTTTAGGTTTAACATAGTATACCAAGGGCAACACCCTTCTTTCTTGATTTGTAAAAATACCCAGTAATGAAAAAGGAAGAAAAGTCAAAGTATAGTCAGTTACGTGAATTATGGATATGGGGGAGAGAGGATGGAGAGAGGATCTACCCAAGCAGAGAAATTGCCTTGTATACACTGGGGCTTCTTGCTCTCACTTTGAAGCAGAATTTCTTGTGCTGGCTGCTATTCTATGGACTACAGTCTATTTGGGAGAACCTCCAGCCTCTGCAGTTTGGTCTCAGTGGCATCTTTCTAGAGGTAACACCAGCAGCTCTGGGAGTGTGGCCAAGTGGCTCCTGGTTGAGACTCACTGACCTAATCTGGTAACTGGGGAAGTCAGGGTTTTACTTGGCATCCTCTCTTGCTGGCTGCTTGTTTGTGTCAGCAGATTCAAAGCTGGGTTCTTGGGGGCTGGGGATGTAGCTCAGTGGTAGAGCACATGCCTAGCATGTGCCAGGCTCTGGGTTCTGCCCTCAGCAACCTAAAAATCAAGCACAAACCAAAAAAGGTAATAGTGTTTTTGTACTCTGGGCTTCTGGGCAGCAGCCCCATTCCAAGACAAGAGTGCCTGTGTTTTAGGTAACACTTCTGTGATTCTTACATTCTGGACATCCCGATAGAAAAAGCAAGCCTGCCAGGCACGGACACCAAAGATAACGCACTTCCTGATTGCCAGGGAGGGAGCATGCTCTCCTTCCTCCTCTCCTGGATCCGTGCAATAATTAGCCAAAGTAAAATGAATATTAGCCCTTGCTTAACTGCCTTACTGTGCGTTTGCCAGCACTGACCCAGTAGTGCTAAACCAATTATTTTTTGAACTTTATGGTTTTAAATAATCCCTTGCTCTAAAATTCCCTGTACCCCTCAGCTACTTAACCACAGGCCCCTCTGCCCTAAATCCTTTTCTTATACTTTGTAGCTTTTTAAGCAAGGCCCCTCTTTAAGAAGACATAATCCCTTCTCTGTAGAAAACATGAAAGACCTTGAACAAATCAAGATTTCTCCATGGAGAATTCAGTTAATCCTGTGCTTAGAGCCTAACAAGGAAATCCATCTCTCCACCAAGCACGCCATTACCCGGACTAATGCCTGACTTGAATAACAAGCAAATTATTGTGCTTTTAATTGTACCCTGCCTGGTCACAAAGCACATCTGAGAGAGGAATGTGGCGGCTCTTCCCGAGAAGCAGGTCAAGCCTCTAATCCTCCTTTTCTTTTCACCTTCCCCTCCCCCCTCCAGTCCTTTCTCTTCCCAGCAGCACAAGGGGGAAAAAAGACAGCTAAATTATGTTTAAAATGGGAGAGTCTAAAGAAGAAAAAAGGTGGTAAATACTGACTTGGGAGAGGGCGAATTATCCCCCGTCTCTGCGGTGTGGCTCATTTGAGAACAATCAATGTTATCATAACCCCATTACCAGAGGGTGATCTTTTTCTTCCCCCTACACCAGGCGTCTTGAGCATCTGTGCTATTGACAGTTTGGGCTGGGTAACTCTCTCTCTCTCTCTCTCTCTCTCTCTCTCTCTCTCTGTGTGTGTGTGTGTGTGTGTGTGTGTGTTAGGTCTCTCCTGAATGCCTTTGGATGTTCCATGCTTTGTCCAGTATGTTCCAATATGGTACCAAAGTCTCTTGGATATGGGTGGCATTGTCAGTCACCCTGGATGAGAATGAGAGATCAAACCCTCCATGTTGGGGGTTTATTTACTGCATATGATCTTCCTCTACACAAACTCTATAAAGTTTTTGAAATGTAAACCTGGGAGATGTTATGTCATAAGTATGTCCCTTATGAAGCGAGACAGGTATGTCCCTTATGAATATAGAATAGCATCAAATAAAAAGACAGTAAAGCATGCATTCTCAAGAGTTGCATCAGAATTCAAGCTGCAAAGAGCCTTAAGTCCCTCAGTCCATTAGCAGCTGTCTCTGACTTCAGAAAACTTTTGAATACCTTTACCTTGTGGTCTTCGACACTGGGCTTGCTTTGGGCGAGAGAAGGGTGGTGGCTAGGTTTTCAAGATAAGAGCGGTTGCCCAGAAGTGCTGATGCCTAGAAGAGTTAAGATAGGGTGAATGGTGGGCCCTGGCTCATTCAGACAATGCCAGC